GAATCCTCCTTTCTCACTGGGTGTTTGTGCGTCAGTCACTGTGTCTACTCTTTATTTAGTTACTGATGACCACCTAAGTTAATTTTTTTTCTTCTACCTTTGCACTGCAGCTTTTAACCAGAGTTTTTTTCATTCTAGCTTTCATACTGTCTTCTTGACAGTAGATTATAACAAAAGTAGTTTTGGCTGTAGCTGTTCTTGAGTACTTGCAGGCTGAGTTTGAAAATTTGCTTTCTAGTGTCTCTTACCGCTTCAATTCTTTCTTGCATCAGATTACTTTGTTATTTTCCTAGAGAGAGGTCTGTTTCATTGCTAAAAATCTAGGCTGTTTTTCACACTTGCTTGTGAATCATAACTTGTGATCTCTCTATGTTACACAGAAACAGAAAGTATGAACTGATGTGCTGGGTCATTCACGTGGTGCTGTACAAGGGCACACTGGACCTTAGTTCCAGAACTGAAAAAACATTTGTAATGGCTGTGTTGCTACTTTCAGCAGCAAGTCATTGCCAGCTCAGGTGCCTGCTCCCCTGTGTGCTAGAGGTATGCACTTACTGGCATACCCTTTCAGATCCATACTTTTCACTTCATGAACATATGATCTCATCTCAAATTAGTGGTTCCCATTTGTGTTTCAAAGCTATTTTGGCAATCATAATGGCAATTGCTTATTTGGAGAAGCATTTTCCAGACATTTCCTTAATTTAGGTTTATCTGTTTTATGAACTTTTTTTAGCTCAGGTCAGTCGGCTGCTAGTAAATGGTCTTTTTGATCTGAGTGATTTGATCAACACATGCATGATGCCAAATTTCCTTGTAGAAAAATAATTGGCTGTGCTTGCTGGTCAAGGAAAATACACTTTAAGTGTAAAATGTGGTTGTATAAAAGCATCAAGGACCTGTCTTGGTATGAGTCCTAAACCAAAATGCCCAGAGCCTCAGCGATTATAGTTTGCTCCCACTGAAAAGAATATTTTGTTTCCCATCAGTGGATAGTCCACAGCAAGCTGAGCAAGCTGTTTTCCCTGTATGGAGTGTTGACTCACCTGACTTTCTAGCCTGGTGAGGAGTTTGAGGAAGAGGATGCCAAAAGGTGTGTGGGAAGGGGAACCCTTCTGCACTGACAGGGAGGAGCAACCTGGGGGAAGTAGTTGCCTTTGGGATCTTTAACGCTTGCCCTGGGAAACTGTCTTTCTTTCCAGTACCTAATTTTCTTGTTTCTCCCCATGTGGAGAAATCATCTTAATTGTAAGAACAACCCCATGGCATGTGAAGTAGAAAAATAAATGGTTAATAGTGGGTCTGAGTGCAATCATCTGTTACCATATTATTTTAGAATACCCACTGCTGTGGCAACTGGAGATCAGTGAACAGTTGTGTCCTGTGTCAGGAAAACATACTTTTTATTTTTGAAAATGAAGATCAACGTAGTTAATTGAATTTGTTAAATCTGCATATCATACCCTGCTAAAGACCTGAGGGAAGCTACAAGTTCAGCAGCTTTTCTGTACCCATGGAATTACAATGGTTTATCATGTTTTTCACTTTATCATTTGAAGTTAGCTTTTAAAGAAAGAATATTAGCTAAACACTTCATAGTGCTGCTGAAAAAAATAGATGCGCGTCTTCCTATTTGAGAATGTGGAACAATGATGCTATTTACAGAAAAATCAAAGCCTAAATCCAATAGAAGATTAAAAAAACCCAGCAACTGATTGTATATTATATAAAGTATATATATATATATTGTGTATATATATATATACACATCTATATATCTCCTTTAAATATATAGATTTTAATAATATTCACAGCAATCACAAAATATTCAAAGAATATTTTCAGTTGAAAGGGACCCACAAGGATCACTGAGTCCAGCCCATAAATTTACTTTTCAGAGACCACATTTCAAATATTTTTTCATTCCTAGGTGGGACAAGAATGTTTGAAATTTTTTGCAGAATGTCTTCCTTCCTATTTTTTTCACTTAGAAATGTAGAAATTTGTATTTAAATATTTTATTATTTCTAAGTGTAAAAACCAGTAACATTTATTTTTAAATGAAATATATCTTCTCCTAATTCAGTTTTTCAAATATTCTTCCTAATCACAGTGGCTGCAGTTTGTTGTGATGAAAACAGTACTTTTCATCTGATGCTAAATAACAACTCTCATCAATCTAAAGTTAAGAAAGTACTAAGTTATAAATTATAAATATAGGTATGATATTATTCATTGCTACAACTGATATAACATAACAAATCTAACATTATAGCATATAATATGCAAATGAAAACCCCATCAAATATAATTATCAAAACCTTTAGCTGTTCTAGAGTATTAAGAACTCTCTTTAGGTCTTTTTTTTCTTGTGTATTTTCTTTAACAGAAGACTTTCTCCTAGATGATGAAGCCTTTAGATGAAAGCAACAGATTTTTTTCCCCAGAAAATGAATGCATTTCCTGGCTCTGTCAGCATGAGATTTTTTTTTTGTTCGTTATTAAGAATCTGACTTGGTTGGCATAAATTGCCCTTGTGAACATCATCTTGAATAAGGTATGTCAAATTCTGTGTACTGCTGAACTCATTCCCCTTCACTCACACAAAATTAGCATGTCATTTTATGAATGGTCACAACTCCAGCGGAGGGGATGGACACACATTTATGAGTCAGCAAAGTCTGGGTACTAGATAGTTAGATTTCTGTCCCAGAGTGCTGCAGTGTTTCAGCTTTTGCTTGTGTATAACTCATCATTGCTGTATTTGAAAGGTGGATTAACTCCGAAAAAAATCAAAATTAATTTCCACTAAAATGACTTTCAGCTTCTCTTAAATTGTATTCCAGGGTCTTGGAACAAAGAAGATAAAACACTTATCCCCCAATGCCTTTATCCTTCAGAAACCTACTAAAAAAAAGGGAGTTATGCACTTCACAAAATTGTTTTTGTAACCTCAAACTCTTTCCAGCTAAATAACTCAGCCCTTTGAATAAAATGCCATGGTGACCTTGTGTGGCTTTCCCACTGCAGAACCTTGTACATATTTTCTGCTGAACAGGGCAGAAAATGAGCTCAATTTGGAAGGCAGAAAACCACCTGAATAAATCATGCTTCAAGTACATGACCCAATTTCTCAGTGCAATATCATACTCTCCTAATGGAAGTGTTCTGGCTTCAGCACAGCTATCTTTTCCTGCCAGTGAAAGGAAAACCTTGAAAGCAGAGGTATTTAGCAATAATTATAAATTCTTCTTTGCAAACAAATGAGCCGTGATGCTGACAATACAGTGATTGCACAGCTCTGCTGACCCCTTGCTGCCATGAGACAGCAATGACGTAGCTTGTCCCAGTTTCACCTTCTATGTTTTCTTTTGAAGGAATTGCAACAAAAGCTAATATTACTTAGATTCCAAAAGGAAATTTTAAATACAGTTTTAAATCTAAACTTCCTCAACCTTTGGAGAAATCTGTATTTGGATTAACTGTTATTTCTTTGGTGACCAACTCAACATTCTGTTCTGTTTCACAGCAAAATAAATACCTCTTATGTGGGCTTTTAATGTGGGTCATTTTTGTTTGGTTTGGATTGGGTTTTTCTGTTGTTTTTCTTTTGTTTCTTAAGTTACATTATCTACTATGTGTCTAATTTCTGGGGGCTTTCTTTTCAAGACTTCAAAAATATTTCAACCTACTTCCTTGAGTTTCCATCGGAAGCATTGTAAGTATAAAGACAACAGCAATCTCTTGACACTACTGAGATAACATGAAGACTGGTAGAAATAATGTTCTACTTCATGTTCTTTTAAACAACAGTGTATTTCTGTTTTAGTCCAATGGGAAAGCCAGGAAAGACTTCTGTTTCCCAGGAAGGAGGTAGAGTTTTCACTGTGATCATATTTTTCTCACTGTTCTCCAACATTTTTTGTATAAAGGTAAAGCTGTCAGTAGTCACTTAAACTCTGCCAACTGACTTTGCATTAGAGAAAATGAGGAATTACTTCACAGATCTTAAGGCTCATAAAATGTGTCATTTTAATATGTGTCTGTCCCTCAAGTGAGAACAGCAACAAGCACCTGGGGGTAAAAAACAGCTATGCAGTTTTTGCCATTTATTGCTGCAAATGGGCAGAGGATGCATAAACAACAAATGATGACATTGAGATGCAAGGCCAGTATGTCCTTTAACAAACTTAATATTGATGCTTTTTAAGTTCACAAGTTCACATGTTTTCTGTTTGTGCTCTGAGCATTACCAGAAGTGTTTCAGTTTGTTGTTTTTTGTTTTGTTTTTTTAAACAGCCAAAAAGTTTTCTTTATGCTTTTAGTGTTTATGGAGATGTTATAAGATTTATTACAGAATAACTGTCTTGTATATGAGAAAACTGAAAACTTTGATACTGAAAAATTACTAAACATGAGATTTGCTTAAAATACCTTTTAAAAACTACAAACAAAATAATTTTAAGAAAACTGTTTCATTAGTTTGCATCCAATCTGTTTCTAACCCATAAATTTTTACTTTTTGTCCAACTCCCAATTAATTGTGCTCTAGCCTAGTTTGATAGAAAGGCTCTTGCTTTGTGGCTCAGAGTCACAAATGTGATTAACACGATGTAAACTGTTGTTGCAGATATGAGTCTTGAAAGTGCTAAGCAGGATCCTAATTTGTAATCATATGTTTATCTTTAAACAAAGAAAATGATGAGATGATCTATTTGGCTGGTGGGATTGGATTCTGAGTATGCTGCAGACTTTACATCTAAGCCCTCAGACAGCATGACTTATGGTATGAAAACTAAAGGAAAAGTAGTTTTTTGGTAAGATGCTGATGTTCCAATCTGCTTTTTGCTATGGTGCAGTTACGCAGGAAGAGAATGGATGTGGCAATTCTGCTTGTGGCATACTCTACTGTGTGAAGGAAGGCATGTTATTTATTTGGCCTTAAAACTTTTCACTATAAGATCTCAAATAAGTAAACATAGACTGTATAGCACTGAAACACAAAATAAAGACAGTAACAAAGAAGGCAACATTGCTTTGCATTTATTTACTAATGCTTACAAAAGTTATGAATGTATGCCAATGCTAAAGAGTAGCTGCTGCTAGAGCATCTTTTGAGATGAATCATAAGACATAGCATGAAATTTAAAATGCAAAACATAACTGGGGAAAAATTGAGCCGCCTTCTCACATCCTTGTCTCCTCCAGTGGTCTGTTCATGAAATCTTGGATTGCCTGGTGTAGGGGTAACCATTTATTAATTGAAGCTTTCAAGGCTGTAATCCACCTAGAAGAAATGAAAGACCAACAATTGTCCCTGATCAAGTCTTATACATGTATTTCTATGTTCTTTGAAACAAACCTTTAATAAATGGTGTTTGTACAGCTGTGTTACTATGTGCTAAATAGTCAGGGCACCGGGGAGATACAGAAGATGGAGGAGTTGATTATAAACAACAACATATCAACACCAATTTTCTAACATACTGAAAAGCTCTGTGGTTGTTCATTAGATTAAAACCCAAAGAATGTAATTACTAGGCTTTAGGCAAGAACTCCTGCTGACAGATGTGGACTTTGACTGGATTATGATGAGGGAATTTACCTTCAGAGTGTGATTTCATTGGCCAATTTTCTTAAATAAATTGAATTCTAATGGTCATTGATGGAAGTATATAATTCTTGGGAATGAGTAGCATATAAATTCCATTCTGTCTAATGAGAGTTTGCCATAGCTTTTATGTTTAGTATAATTCCCACATGTAACTGTGAAAGGCACCTTATCCAGGTTTTTTTCTGAACCTCTGCCAGCCAGCCTTACTGTGGTTCCAACATGGACAAGAACAGAACTGGTGACTCACACGTGCAAGTAAATGTTGTACTGCAGTTTGACTAAAGCTACTGTTAAAGGGAAATCTGGGGAATAACGGAAAAGAGGCTGAAAAGTTGTCATTAGATCTTCCCAGGAACTACAGAGCTCCTGCTTTCCTAAAGCTTGCCAAATAAAATTGGATAAAAAACAAACAAGCAATTTGGTTTACCTTTTGTTTTCATTTACATTCTCTGCACATAAGTAAAAGGTTTTAAATTCTTCAGATGGAGGTTTGAGTTCAATTACAGATCTCTTGGAGCCCAGAGACTGTTCACTCACAATATAGCCCTGCAGGTAAAGGCCACCTGGGTAGAATAAAATAGCATGCATGATGTATATTACAGATACCATTTATAGAATTACTGCCAATTACAAGCATACCAACAAATCTGGAGAACTGGATTTTCAGATGCTTTCTGTTGGGGGTATGGACAGAGTTTTACAGAATTTACATTTAAAAATATGAAAGTTCAGTTTGTTTTTTTCTTTTTTCCAAAAATTGATTTCAAAATAGTGTAAAACACCTATCTAGCAAATGATCAGCAGTAGAGTTTTATTTAGCAAAATATTTTTTCTAGTTTTTGCCTCCTATCCATGACGTTGTCTCAAGCCACTGTAAGGTTCTTTGGAAGGGTGGATCTTGTCACTGATATTTTCTTTTTCTTTCCCTTGAAAACTAAAGGGATATGGATTTCCACATGAAAAACAAATGTTCTAGGTCAGCACTGGTTCCTCTTGCTGCCTGTAACATCATTGTGAAGCCATGACTATCCAGCTGTGAAGGAGAGGCATTAGACAGAATTTTGTCTTCAGGACATTTTAATTTTAGCTAGTTGTTTTCCCCAGATCTTATCTCAGTGCTGCAAGGTGTATGTCTACTTTATATACATATGGTGAATAGTCAAAAAGACTACAGAACTGACCAACTGCAGCTGAATGTTCTTATTACTGTCTTCAAAGTCTGTATTTTTTTGGCGTCTCACACGTAGTCATAACAGCATTAAATTAATGCTGAGAATGATATGAGAGAACGAAAATCTGTAGTGAAATGGGAAAAAATTGCAATAACATGAGACAAAACACTACCATGTACAAGACTTTGTATGTAATAGGATATTTAGACACCAAAAGAAAACATTTGGTAGTATGAGCATAGTCATAAATGTATGAGCAGTGTCATAAATGTGCAATACTTAATTTTTGCCTTTCCGCTAATTCAGTGCTTTTCTCTGGGCAAGTCTTATCTTCAGTTTCATGTAGAGAGGAAACCCCTGGTCACTTTGTAAGTATGGCCTTTGGTAGATGAAAAGTGCTATGCAAGTGGTATAAAGTGGAGCACTTCTTGCCTGATCGTGTGGCAAATAGCATAAATTGTAAGAAAAGTTTTTCTCTTTTGATCTGAAAACTTGCTGCCAAGCAAAAATACAACAATATTTCTGACTGCTGGCTTCCTTAGTACAGGGAGAAAGCATTTACAGGTCCTGAGCCATCCCTGGAGCACTTTCTTTTTTTTTTTTTAAATACTGACTTTCACAGAGCTGCTCTTGTAGGCTTTTATTGCCTGAAGTGAGCTCTGCTTGCAATTAACCCCAGTAGCTTCATGCTGCTCCCATGCAAAATTCGATAGCTTTTAGGAGACTGCCATCAGTGGAACTGCCTCAAGACACCATAAAGTACTTTGGAACTGTGGATCTTATTTCTGACATTTCTTCCTGAGGTAATGTGCACGTATCCTGACTAACTCCATTTCAGAAAGAAAAATTCAGACTGTGGGAGGAAAAGAAGACTGGGATGGGGAATGAGGTGGCTAGTTGATAAAAAGAGACTGAGTCTGATCTTCCTTCACTCACCTTCATGGAACACCATGAATTTCCTGATAAGAAACTCTCATTAATGGTAACGGTTCTATTTGGATGGAGATGGCAGTGAAGCATTTTTGCTTTGATTATCAATGAAAATTTAGCAGCCATCCCTACCTTGGGCAGGTGTAGACCGGAGAGTGGCATAAAAGTACAAACAGCCATCCTTCAGAATGCAGTAATGCTGAATCCAGACATCTTTGCTCCTGTCCAGCTGGTGCAGAAGCCCCAGGCACTCAGGATTTTTAATAGCCAAGGGTGGGAGTGTAGTGTTATGCAGTGTGACATCTACCCACACATGGTTCTGTAAAGAAAGCATGTAATGAAAAGTTCCGGTAAAAACTTCAGGAGGAACTGCTAGCATGAAAGGACACAAGCTCTAGTTGTCTGCTATAAAATTAGCTTTTGATGTGAAAATAATTTGAAGAGTTGTGCTAGTTTTGGCTGGAATAGGGTTAATGTTCTTCACAGCAAGTAGTATGGGGCTGTGTTTTGGTTTTGCACTGAAAACAGTGTTGATAGCACAGGTATTGCTGAGCAGGGCTTACACAGAGCCAAGGCCTTTTCTGCCCCTCAGCTCATCAGTGAGCAGACTGGGGGTGCAGAAGGAGTTGGGAGGGGCACAGCCAGGACAGGTGACCAAAGGATATCCCAGACCTTAGGGCATCATGCTCAGCATATAAAGCTCAGGGAAGAAGAAGGATGTGGGGACAATAGGAGTGATGGTGCTTGTCTTCTCAAATCACCATTACATGTGAGGGAGCCCTGCTCTCCTGGAGATGGCTGAACACCTGCCTGCCCATGGCATACAGTCAATGAATCCCTTGTTTTGTGTTACATAGTAAAATATCTTCTCTCAATCCACAGGTTTTCTTGCTGAGCTGCCTACTGGGGTTAAGACACAACAGAAGTCAATGCTGAAAATGGAATCAGAAAATCCTATACGGGGTGGCAGTGTCCAACTTCTACTTTCTTCTTACAATAATAACTTGTATTTTCTACATCTATTTTATTTTCAGTACTACCTGCGTTGCTGGTACAAAGAGGATTACTTCAAAGTTTTATGAAGAAGGTGTTGTTTTGTTTTTTTTTTTTTTTTTTTTTTTTTAGTTGTGTTGTTGATTGCTGGACTTCAGTAGTCTTTACTATGTGTAATCTGGCAAGACAAGATTCACCATCTTCTCTCTGGGTTCCAGGGAAAATGTATGGTGTATGAGGTCAGAATACAGCACTCAGGCTTGGATGGAAGCACTAGTACACACAAAATACTTACAGACACCTTCCCATCCCTTTATGGAAAGCAGAGCCTTTTCCATTACCAAAATTACTTTATTGTCATTTACAGGTGAAGAAAAAGCTCAACCCATGAAACACTGCCAATGTATAGGCTATTTGTATGATAAAATAATCCAAAAAGAAAATCAGGAAAAAATAATCTGTTGTGTTATTAGATCAACTTGTTTAATGTGAGATTAAAGCATTTTTTCTTCTCCTATGAATCAGGGAGTTGTTAGAATCTCAGCCTCTCCTAGTGTGTTTTGCCATCTGCAATACATATTTAGAATTCTACATCTACCATTGTCATTTGAAATCCATGGGGAAAATATGTGCAATACCAATATCTTCCTGTTTGTTTCCACTGGGAATTTCTTTTGCATTTATTTATGATATTTCTTCAGTATCCTTGACAAGGCAAAGACGGAAAAAAGACCTGGCACAATATAGCTGACTGTATTTTTTGTTACAAATGGAAACCTGCTGAGACTTATTGCAGCAAAGTGCAGAAGAGGACTTCAGTAACACTAGGTATATTAATGCAGTTATCCTTGTAGATTCATAAAGAGGACACAGTGTCAGTATAATGGTCTACTAAATCCCTGTGTTGTAAACTCTACTGTAACACACTACTATTGCAAAAAGTCAGTAACAAAAACTAAGCAAACAAAAAAGAAGAAAAATACAAGCTTTTCCTATTCAACTTAGTGGTAAGTCTAGTTAGAAGGAAGGTTAGGAAACAAAAGTGACATATTAAATCAAACATTTATTTCAAAAAAGGATATTATTCACTCAAAGACAAAACAAAAAAAAGATAGTGCAGTCAAAAATGCAGTGGCACAGAAAGAAGCCAACTTAATGTGCTGTTAATGGATGAATGCATGAGTGATCCTTCTGTAAATATAACGTTGGAACTTTTTATACAACAAGTTATATATGCATGCTACACTAAAGAACAACCCTTTGATGTCTTTTGTGTATGTGAACCTCTACTATCCTTTTTGGTTCAGGCTGTTTTATTGTTTCTTTTGGTTAGGGTACACATTTTAAATTGTTTTATTTATTTTTGCTGTTTCAAATACATTCATTGCTTCATTTTCTTTTGAGAAACACTGACAGGTAAAATATACCGGGAAACCAGTTTGGTTCTGCAATTACAACCTTCCTGAAAGCTAAAGGCAAAAGGAATATAAATCTGATCAATTTTACTTCAGTGGAAAAGGACTTAAAGCAAAAATAAATACCTTTCACTGTTTGGAAAGCCATCATTAAACACTGCTGAAGGAATAAATTACGCCCCCTTGCTTTTTTACACTTCATGAATGCAGGTTATAATTTGTACCTTGCAATTGTCATATTTTTTAATTGATTATTTTATTTCATTTGCAAAAAAGGTAGACCTTGATACTTATTCTGCATTTGAGCCTCACATTCTTTCTGTTAAAAACAAGGTAGCTCAGTAGCTAAAGCTCTGTCAAAAAACTTGACAAATCAAACTCCTGTTTTCACAAAGGTCGTCATCTGTAGAAGGAAATAATAGGAATCATGGGACCAGGAAACGGCAGAATAAAATGTCTTTGACCCCTATACTTCCAATTCTGGAAATACTAAAATTAACTTTGCAATTCCCAGTTCAGGGGTCAGCCAGGGACTATTGATGCTGAGTTATGTTGGGCTCATAGATCTCTCAGTAGCAGCTCAAGATCAATAATGGCTGTATTTTTCCCAGCCACAGGGGCCAGCAGAGAGCACACCTGTGTAAAGAGATAAGTAAGACAAAGTTTTTCAGCTCACTTGACTTTCTTCTTCCCTGGGAACAAAAAAAATAAGAACTCAGCAATCATGCCTCCCCCAACCGAATATCCTCTTGGAAAAAGCAGGTTGCCTGCAACCAAGGGAGTCTTGTGGGAAATGCTTATGAAGATATGACCTTCTCTCCTTCTACTCCAGTTTGTATTACCTCCAGCATAACACGTGATTGTGAGAGTCATCTCTATCCTTTCTTTCTGCCTGATACACTAATTCTGGGTTATGTTTCTGAATCAGCTTAAAGCTGCTGATATCCAGAGAGGGAGCATTTTGATTCGTTCCACCATATGGCAGCAAAACATGTAAGCTGAGTCATAATTCTGTATGTGGCTTTTAGATTGGAGATGACTCACAGCCCAACAGCCCAAAACAAAATTATGGAGCTTCCATGTTGCTGTCTGCAGCTGACCATGTACAGCTGCTGTCTCTTAGTCTTCTGCACAATCTGCTATACACATACTTCTCATCTAAATAAAGCATTACCTGATGGACAGGATGCACTGCTTTATCCATAGCCTCCAGCCACCTATAACATAACAAAAAATGAGAGTAGCTTAGTTTGGTAGTACAAACATGCTTCACTGCCTCTTTTAATTCTTGCTGACATGTGCAGCACCTAAAGGGATGTGCAATTTTCAGGATGCACAAGGCTTTAAGATAGAAAAGCAGTGGATTAAATCTAAATAAACACTGCTAACTCTAAAAAAAAAGTCTCAAAGCTTGCTGTGTAAGAATGCATTATAATTAATAAAGGCAATATTGCAGACAAGGGAATCTACAGATGTTGAATATAGTTCAACATGTTAGGCTAAATGATCACTCTTCTTGACATAATGCAGACAAGGAATTCGTAAGAGACACAAAGAATCCTGGAGACACCACAGATTAAAGCAGTAACTTTGTTGGCAAAGTTATTCTGTTGCACTATGTACAATATAAAATTTGGAAATGGAAAATGCTCTAATATTAAAATGGTGGGTTATGTTAAGCAGTGAGATGATATAAAAAAATGGGTCAATGAATACCAAATATCAACAGCTTTATATTTTTGACTGGAGCCCCTGGTGGTCTAGCGGTAAGGGCGCCGCACTATCACCGCGGAGACCCGGGTTCGATTCCCGGTCAGGGCCACTCCCGGGCAGGTGGGGCTCGTTAGCCCTTAAAGGCAACCCACCTACGTCCTAAGGACCTCGCTGCCACCGTCCAAGCTCGCTTGGCCCCAGCAGATGAACCTTAGGATTAAAGGGTGGGCTCAGTTCCGCTCACACTGTGTCTCACCTAAAAAATCCAATGCGCAGGCTGGAAGGTGGAAAGACCTTCCCCGGATCTTCGCTCGCAAAGACTGGCCATTATTATATTTTTGACAATTCACAATAAAACAAAGAGTACAATAAGTTTAGATTTTAGTATGTTTTGAAAGAGAGGACTAGGAAGTTCTTACTTGTACTTTGGGTGAATTTAAGCTCTTTGTTTTGTCAGTTGTTGCTGTTGGGAAATGCAAAAGAGCATTTTTAAAGTCTAACTCTGTGTCAAACCAAAAGTCAGTGCCCCAGAACCAATGTGCTTTTGGGGCACATTTGCATTTTAAAATAGTAAAATGAAAATGTGACAAATGACAGAAAAGAAAATGGAAGATGGGACTGTGTTTATTACTAGCACTGTCCTTGTTCGGCAGAAGAGGACATTTATATGAAATGACTGATAAGAAAGTTTATATCCTCAGGAATATTTACACTTCTTTTTGATATAACAGTGGGAGAGAAGGCATGAGAACATGGATTAAATTTTTTTCTCATGATAAACCAAGAATTCAGGGGGATGGGAAAACATGAATGTTAAAAGATTTTACTGAAAACAATTAAGAAAAAATCTACGAAACTGAAAAATAATTTTTGAAGCTTCTAAAAAGAAACATTATCTTCCCATAAGTAGCTGATAGATTTTTAATTTTTTCCTCTACTGATCAAGGCAGATATTGTGAACATCTTCCAAAAATACAGAGCCCTCTCCACACTGGATTAACAAAACTGACACTGTTAAAATGAAAGATCGCTTACCTCTTCATTTCTTGGTTGGAAGTTGCACAGAAATAGAAAATTCTGTTTCCAGCTTGAGGTATACATTTAAAAACAAATGGTTTCCCCAAACTGGTGTCAACACCAATTTCTGCTCCTTCCAGTTTTGTTACTTCCAGGGGTTTGCACTTCCCTTCATCCTGCAATTAGAAAGAGTGCCCAAAGTTCAGAACTATTATGAAACTGATCCCTGTGAGAGGAGGATAAGCTCAAGGAATATTCAAAGTTGTAAAGCTCTTGTACTTTTGAACCACCATATGGTTTAATGATCAGCAGTCCCAGAAATTACAGTGTAATCACAGATGACACGCTAGTCAAACACCCTCTAAATTTGCATCTGTGTTTTTGATCTCTTAACTGTTTTTGGTTCATCGGAAGACGTATCTGTACCAAACACCTTTGTAGGTATGTGTAGACATGTAGACGTTCTAGCTATTGAGGGTTCAGCTAAGTGGTGTGGGAATTTTCACAGTGGACTGAAGAATTTAGAGACACAGATCTCTTTACTAATCAGTGATGTTTGCAGTTTGGGTTTATGCTGAAAATCTCACCTTATATGGGTAGATACAGGCAACAAAGACTTAAATTTGAGAATAGTGAGCATAATTTAAAAGGCCGAATTTCAGCTCCTTTGCAAAGTTGCGGTAAATATAACTCTGTTCATAACCCTTACTATATAATTTAAATAACTTTCAATGGAAAGCTCTTCAGAACCATTTTGCTTGTTCCTAATTGTGTTAAAGCTCTTTGAGACTGAAGGGCATTGCCAATGTCTTTCCCTGTGTAAGTTATAAAGAGCCATTAAGCTCCTTAGTACACGTAGGTAGGTGAAACAGTTTATCCCCTCGCTTATTTCCCAGCTCAGCTCCCCCTAAATACACATCTTGACTCAAAACACACATCTGGACAGTGAACTTTAGCTGTGTTTTAACCCATATTCTTTATCGAAGATCTGTGACTGGAACTCTAACAATTGCATGAAATTTGGTAGCAATAAAATGGGAAAGAGGAGTTAATGCTGAGACATAGGAAAAGCACTAGTGCTGTTTGCAAAATACACAGATGGTGGAGTCTTATAGAATAAAATTAGTTGATTATTAGGTGTTAATTAAATTTTGTCAGTAGGAGCTGGATTGCAAATACCCTATGTAATTTTCCCTTGGCCTAAAACTAAACGTACATAGCCTTGCATGAAAAAAAAAATGCACTTGTGGAATTAGATAGTTAAATACTTAATTGTATGCTCACTAGCACATGTAATTATCCCTTTGTAATACATGATTTTCCTGTAGTAACAAAATAAACCCTAATACTGACAAAAGTATAAATCAACATTCATGAGTACATTTCCTACATTTTTATTCCTTGTTCTCATTCCATTTTTTTAATGCAAAATTAAAGTTTTTTAATATAAAAGTAAAGAAGATAAAGGCAATCCTGTAAGTTGTCAGTGCTGTGTGACCTACTTTATTTATAATGCCTTCAGACACAAAACTACATTGCAGACAGCATAACCAAAATACATATTGAGGGTCCAAATCTCATTTCTCTCATTTCTAGTGTAAAGCATAAAAAGTGCAAGCTCCTGTCCATGGTCTGAATTCTTCTCACCACCCTGACCTGAAGGCAAAGGTCTGAAACTACAGATACTGAAATCATGGATCACTATTATTGTATCCTTATAAACTTATTTTGTAAACTCTTTCTGTGCTGTCTAGAATGAATGCAGATAGAGGTTCTGTGGTATCAAGAATTATATAGGTCTTCTGTATCTCAAACACATCCGGGAAAGGAGTGAGATAGATTTGAGGCATTTAAAATTAGACCAAATGTAGGAACATTGACTAATAGACAGCCATCCTCCCCTAATTCTGATAATCCAGATCACAGAATAATAGAATTGTTAAGGTTGGAAAAGACTGTCATGATTATCATGTCAAAATGTTCACCCAGCACTACCTTGTTCTCTGCTAAACCATGACCCATGTGCCACATCTGCATGTTGGTAAGGGGGGTATTTCTTTTCACTTGTGTGGCTTTCATGAATAACATGTTGAGATGATTCCTTAGGCAAATATACCTTTGCTACAAAAAGTGAGTAAGGTATATTTCTGGAAAAAATAATTATGAAAGTAATTTCTTACGCTTGTGACTGAAGTGTAACACACTGATGATACTGCCTTAATGGAACCTGATATAACTATGTGATGCTGCTTGAGTTGATGATATGTGTCATGCAGATTTTAAATGAACTAACTCAAATTTCAGCTGTTCCATTCTGCACTAAACTAAAAAAAAATTTTTGTTTTTTCTTCAAGTTTGTAATCAGCTTCTTCATGGATTCTTGGCAGTCTCTAGTATCAAACGTGGAAATTTCTCTAGGTAGAAGGAGTAGAAAGATGGAAGCAGGTGATGCTTTGGTAAATGCTATTTTAAGAACAGTAGAAACATCTGAAGTAACCCTTCCCATGCTCTGAGTTTTCCTAAGATGATCTGAATTTTAGGAGAAATGTTTCAGCAAAAAAAAATTAAAAATATAATTAACAATGCATAATGATCAGAAACAGATAAAAGGGAGAAATAAAAATAGGAAATTAGGCATTTCCTTCCTTTATTGTATTAAATGCTCATTAAGGTAGTGCGTGCAGCCCTACTTAATTTGATGTAAATAATTCCAGAAACTAAATGCCATTCATAAGTCCTGGGTGATTCACTGTATTCAAAGGATTTTGTTTGAGCAGAGTTATATTTGCTATGGCAGTTAAGCTCCTTCATCTATTAGAGAGGAGAATCTGAAGAGGTATATGAAAACTTCATGCTATTTGTAGTGAAAGAAACAAAAGGTAACAACAGGAATAACTATGAAAAGAAATTAAAATTAAGCTACAAAAGAGTCTTCAAGTACTAGGAAAATGGAATAAAAGTAACTTTACAGAAAACAAGATAAAATCCTAGAAGAAATCTAAACAATGTGAAAACTAAGCAGTGCTAGAAAGCAGGAATTGAAGTCTGGCTCGATTGGGAGACTGGCAGTGGACAGTGTGAGGTAGTTGCTCCCAGGTCACTGGGTCAGATTGGTTTCAGGTCAGTAGTGGCATGGCTGAATTTTTGACTGTCTTTCAAAACTATCTTCATGGCTGTGCCCCAGTGTTCTTAAAATAGGTATCTCTTAAACAAGACAGGAAACTGAACTGTTTTTTTCCTTTTGCTTATTATTTCTCATTTGCCCAGCTTTCTCCATTGTAGCTGATATGGCCACAAACCTCCATGGCACTCAGGCTTGCAGCATTTTCACCATCTGTTATCTTTCAGTTTTCTCTGACCAGCTTCTTCTTGAGGTCTGGTGCCACTTGCTTAGTAATATCACTAAATTCTTCTCCTCCCTATGTCTTTTTTTAATTACTGTACTTTGTGATAGGCTCATTGTTTGGTAATTTAGGAAATTATAGATAGAGCCTGTTTGCATTTATTCCTCCTTTGAGCTGGGCACATTGGTGCAAAGAAGAGACTAAGGTTTCTTATGTCTTTTCCCCTTACATCTATTTCCTTTTCCCTTGAGGTAAGGGCTTGTGTATGTCAGAAAAGAGGGAGCTCTGGACTCCAAAACTGTTCACATGGTATTTTTTGCCAGTAGAAAGAGATGAACTTATTTAGTTGTTCGTTGTGTTTTGTTTTAACTAATTTGCATCTAAACTACAGAGCGTAGAAACTTACTGAAGACAAAACAATTGGGGAAAAAGATGTAAAAGATCCTCTAATTTGAAAAACATAATCATCATACACCTAATAGTATTGGCCATCAGGTGAAGTACAACCAAAAGGAGTTCTGACATGTTTAATCTTCACATTATAATTCTTTTCTTGAGGTTGAATAATTTGCTACAGTTAAATTCACAGAATATAATAAACAGTTTGCAGAACCAAGGCTCACAGGAAGAGTTATTGATTAGGTTAAAATTTTGAACAACTTGAATCAGATCAAATAAAGTATCTGAGTATGAATCTTTCTCTGGGTTGGGGTATGCAATCTGTTAGTAGGCCAAAATTATCATGCATATCATAGCAGCTAGTGTTATTTCTCATTTATCAATAGAAATAATACAGTGAATGTATTGGAGACAGTGGATTCAGAAAGTTCTTGAATAAATTGAAAAATATATTCTGGAGCCATGGAAGTAATGGAAAATGTAAAGAAGAAATCAGATTCTACACTCTAAATAATAAGCTTTAAATAATATGGCAATTCCCAGACTATATTAAAGCTCTAAGCAAGAATGAAGAACAAATAGAAGTGATATATTTATGAGCAATGCTCAGATGTAAATCTATCTTGCCAAGCTGCTCTCCATTATCTTCCAACAGTCCTGGCTCACTGGGGAGGTCCCACATGATTGGAAGTTGGCAAATATCACCCCAATCCATAAAAAAGGCTGCAAGGCTGACCCTGGTAACTACAGGCCTGTCAGCCTGACCTCGGTGCCTGGCAGAGTTATGGAACAGATCATCCTGTGTGCAATCACACAGCACCTACAAGATGGACAAGGAATCAGACCCAGCCAGCACGGGTTTAGGAGAGGCAGATCCTGCTTGACCAACCTGATCTCCTTTTACGATCAGGTGACTCAACTGGTGGACGAGGGGAAGGCTGTGGATGTGGTCTATCTGGACTTCAGCAAAGCCTTTGACACTGTCTCCCATAATATACTCCTGGAAAAGCTGGCAGCCCATGGCTTGGACAGGGGCACTCTGTGCTGGGTTAGGAACTGGTTGGAGGGCCGGGCCCAAAGAGTGCTGGTGAACGGGGCTGCCTCCAGCTGGCGGCCGGTCACCAGTGGTGTCCCCCAGGGATCAGTGCTGGGCCCAGTCCTGTTTAACATCTTTATCGATGACCTAGATGAGGGGATTGAGTCCATCATCAGCAAATTTGCTGATGACACCAAGTTGGGAGGGAGTGTCAACCTACCAGAAGGCAGGAGGGCTCTGCAGAGGGACCTGGATAGACTGGAGAGATGGGCTGACTCCAATGGGATGAAGTTCAACAAGGCCAAGTGCCGGGTCCTGCACTTTGGCCACAACAACCCCCTGCAGCGCTACAGGCTGGGGACAGAGTGGTTGGAGAGCAGCCAGGTGGAAAGGGACC